ACATTTACTGTTGAATCACGAAATAGTTCAGAGGCAATCATCCCGACGACACAGACAGCGGCGGCCAATGTTTGTCGACTAGCAGCAGGACCATCTCGTTTCATGTATGGCGCAGAAGTCTATCCCGTTGGCGCACCAGTGTATCTAACGGCTCACAAAATTGGCCCGTAACATTTGGTGTTGCGACGCGAGTCTCTGCTACGTTGCAGTGCTTTTGAACTGGCCTAGTTGTCCCCCCTCTCTGCCGTCGCGGAAACCCTCGTATACTTTTCACGCCCACAGGGTTTTGCGAGTGAGCGTCGGCTCTCGCGGACGTCGTAGCATTACCTTGAGAATCATGCAGCAACATAGACATTGAGATGTGACTTGAGTGTTCGTAGTGCAGCCTGTTACAGGAGCTTCCACTCGCATTCGGGCGTCCGCGATCAGCTCTGCCCACAAAGTAGGCAGTTCCCAGTGGCAGTTCCCTTTGAAGAAAGGGAGGCCATCCCTTACGTAAGAAAGTGCTCAATCATATTTTAATCCATCACGCTCCAACCTTAGCTTACATTTGAATAAGTCTTAGACCACTTCTCTCCAAAATTTCTGACATCTATTGAATGTTGAAATATGGCCATCCCTCCTTTCCCATGTTATGGCCAGTGTTCTTATTGCGCAATACGTTGTCCGTCGGAGATCCGAAATGACCTCCTGAAGGTTATAATCATTTTGCATGGAATTCTTGGAATACTCTATTGGGAAGCGATTGTCAGAGGTGGGGGAATGTACTCACTGAAAGAGATTTGCGCGTGTCGTTGCCTATGACTTTTGAATAGTCAAAATTAATTTGTGAAGCAGTTTTGAGAATGCCATTCAAAAGCACATCTCATGGAATGCACTTAATTTTTTTATACACTTCTACGTGGATCCTTCTGGTGGTGAGTTTGATGAATTCAGCTTTCACCTGGATACAAATTCGACACAAAGTGTTATTATTACGCTGTAAATGTCACATTCCAAGATGATGTCAGCGACTTCAAGAGGACCAAGGAGATTTGCCATTGTGAGTGAGACATGCTCAACGCAGTTCTAAGGATTTACATTGCGTTTCTAAAGTTTATGGACACCCAAAAATTTTCCATTCCCTCAAAGACTGTTCACTTCTTCAGCCACCACCATTCAATGTCTCGAATGCGAAAACCTTAGAATTTCTCATTTCTTGACAATTTATGATAAATGCAGCTTTATTTTTTCGAATGATGGAAAAAACTTGTGTGACTGCACCCCTGTATCAAAAGTATTTGGACACTTTCCTAAAAAACGGCAATACCTTCAGAATCTCAAATCACTAGGTCTACCAAAGCTGCTATAAAGCTGTGACATTCTGTTTGGCATGCTCTGAACCAGGCTCTTGTTACCTGTCTTGTCGATCTGTTCCCACCACCCAGTTTCATCAACGTGTTAGGCCACATGTGATATTACCTCTATCGTCCAATGAACTAAAGCCCGCAAACCACAACACCTCCATTTTTTTCGATAAGGATGAGGTCTGTGGATACGCTAGCTGACCTATCAACAAAAATCGTTTCGTTAAGCATTTTTCCAAATGGAGTACCTATCAGAGACCTTCCCTCGGACTCGCTGCAAGAATAGCAGACAAAGGAAATTTTGACACATAACGAGCCATTCTCCTATTGTTTTGAATTATGGAATTTATCGGAAACGACCCCTAGTCATTGCTGGTAGCTTAGCATCAGGATTCCGGATCTCTTTTTCAACACATGGAGACGCTAGGCCAAGCTGACGTGCGATTTTGATTATAAAGTTCAGCAACATGAAGACTCCACATCTGCGCTTGGTCCTCTTCAGAAAAATGCTTGCTGTGAAGAGGAACGAAGGCAGAGTAAGCAGCGAAAGGAAAAGTAAAAGCAAATTAGGGAGTTGGCTCAGAAACTCCATCTACCTCAGGTCCGCATACTTTTTATGCAAAGAAAAGTTTTCAGTCTTTGCTTGTGTCAATGTTGTAGCCTGTTTAGGCGCCACCAGATAGCTGTCAGCTTTGTTTTCGTTCGATTGCGCCTCTGCTGCCAAGAGTATGTTCCTCATTCTCTTGGCAGCAGAGGCTTCATTCACTGCTCCCGACTTGATTTTGAGTTATGTTCTTTTCTCTCCAGCTATTTTCTAGTTCCTTCAGAATGATAGATCCTTCCCACCAGAAATTAGTTGCGAACTCGTCCTCTCTGAATCCTCTCGTAGCGCAATTCGCTGAATTCTGCACTTAATCGACATGTCCGAAGTACACTTCATACTCAAGCGGTTGCAGGTGCTCTACTATTTTGTCGACTTCTTTGAGCCTATTGGTAATCATACCACTTTTCTCGGATATGGGATGATTCTTCACCAAGCTTAGTCCAATTTCCGAAACGGAGAAGATGTAATGATCATGATCTGTATCGCAGATCGGAGTTCCTTGACTACCGTTTCGGTCAATCGCGTAGCTGAAGTGACAGCGTTAAGCTCCATTTTTGACATTGTCATCGCATTCCTCAATGATGGAAGTCGTTCACGTGCCATCAAGAGATGAGTTGATGCCGGATTGCGCAGGTAAACGCATGCAGCCATTGATTCCGAGCTGGCATCAGCAAACATCACAACAACTTGATGACTTAAAGCCACGAGTCAGGATTAGGTGACCCCAGAAGGCCTTTCCATCACTAATATTTCCAGGAATGCGCTCAGAGGGGTGATGCCACACTTCTGTCTCGAGATTGCGCGCCATCAAGGCATCTGGCCTACTACTTTCAGCGATGGGTTCGTTACATCAGCTGGTCCCGCCCACCGCGGGATGTGGTGCTGGCTGGCCTAACGTGTGAGATCAGCTAGGTTGATTGCCGTATCAACCGATGGAACGGCTGGCGTATACGGAAAACCCATTTGGACGTGGCTCTCCCCCGAGCAAGCCACTTTCACTGCTAGAACAAATGGGTTTTAGATTTCGGTTTTGTTGACGGTTCCTTTGTGTTTTTTCTTCACTGTCGTTCCACCTCCCATCTCTTCACTCAATTTCAGGCGCCATAATGCCCAAACACGAGCCTGACTTTTGCCTTTAAGCTTGTTGCAATAACTTGCGGGATTATTTTTTCGAATCCTGTGATGTCATTGACGATCTTGTACCATTGTTGTGCATGAATCGATGAAAGTGTGCTATCCCATCCATAACCTTCTTTCCATAAGACTGGAGAAATCGTTTCGCTCTGTTAGTTAGCGGGATCAGCCACCCTAGAGGGTCGTATATCGAAGCTACAGCTCGAGCTACTGACCGTTTGGATAAGTGAGTGTCCGTGCTGATTGAGCAGTTCACTTTAAAATAATCGTTCAGTAAGTTCGATCGTGTGCCAAGTACTTTTGGCTTAAGACCAGCTGAGGAGTCCTTGTCATCCATGACTTGCACTACTTTCATCATTGGATACAAATTCTCTGAGGTTCATGTTCAAAGCGTTCAACATTTCCCTTCACTTGATATACTTATGATGGGCTTCATGGCGACCTTCTGCCGTCGAGGATGGGGCCAGGTGGTGTCTTATAATTCCACAGCCACAGGCATCTTGTGGAGTCGCGCTCGCTTTAATGGAGCCTTACTTGTAAAAAGCCTTTGCTTTCTCCACGTCCGAGATAATTCCTATTTTTTCAATTCTGAATCTGAGGAGTATTCCGAACATTTTGGAAGGATCACTGAACCTCTGTGGAGAACTTCGTTCAGCGATGTGCGTCCCTTGTAATGAGCAGATGCATCGAGGTCTATGCGGAGCTTTGTCGTTGATTTATTGGGTGTGATGTGCGAGGTAATGTACAATAGTCTTTGAAGTCGGCTTGTCTTCTGGTATATCTTCAAGGATGTTCATTTGTACTTGTTCTTTGAAAACTGCATCGTAATGCTGAAGGAGATTTTGATCCTTCTGCAGTGAATTCCAAACGCTATGAAAACGATGCATTGCTATTGCGTGATTGTCAAGGGCTTCACATAATCACCGTCACTTCTGCGTTCGATAGTGAGATTGAAGTTGTCCCAAACTTCTTTGTCTTGACGATCTTTTTCTTTCTTTTCTGGGTTTCCGAATTCGTGGATGCCTGCCAATTCTAGTTCCCAGTATTTCTCCCATTTACACTCGTCATCCATGTCTTCTGGAGTTCTCACCTCTTCATGAATCATATTGTGACTCTAAGGACCAGTACTTGTCCCACCTTTTCAGGCTCACTATTGAAACGTAAATGAAGAATCTTTTGTTCTGCTTTAATCTGTCCTGCAAGAATCTTCCCAATCGTGATATGTAAAACATGAAGGCCTGATGGGAGTTGAAATGTGAACAGTTGGCTTCAAAAAATTGCCATGCTTGGTCAGATCCCAGTAGGATGCTTGGCTTCGCTTGTCGGTTCGTAACCAACTTCAATGGCGGCTGCAGATTGATTAAAGAGCTTCTTCGTCGTCTTCTGATGGAGGTGGAGCCGCGAAGTCTTCCATGAATATGTCACTTGTTAGCAGAATGTGAAGTTGACAGTCGTTGTCCCATGTTGGTAACTGAACTCTACGTGACTGCATCTTCTGTGCTTTCTCTGACCCGAAAGCGTAATAGCTCAACAGCTTCTCTTCGGTCGTTGGTAAACTTAGCGTATTTGCTAAGTTGATCTCAAAGAAGGACATTTCTGCTCCGGTGTCGATCAGCACTTGAATTTTCTAAGGTTCATTGCATTTGGGTCGACTACGGAGAAGGGAAGGAACGCTTTTCGAGTCGTTGGACCATCATTTCTTGAAGGCTGTATGCTCACAATAGCTCCCTCGCTGTGCGTTCGTTGCTCCTCATCTTCGTTACGACTTTACTTATCCTATCGTCCGCCACTATATTGACTCTAGTTGCGGTCCTCATTTGTGTTTTTTCACCTCTTTTTCCGATCATTTGCGAGTTTTCCTCTTTTTTTCTGATGGGCATTATTTCCTCTGACAAGCGACGATGATGTCGTTGAATTTACTGCGGCGTAAAACAGCACGATGTGTTATGTGGGCCTTGGCAGTGAAAGCACGGTTGCCTGCGGCAATCTGCTGTTACATGGTGCGCTGATGCGCATAGCTCACACAAGTTCCTTTCTTGTAGGCATTGTGCCCGTTCTTGCATTTTCTCGAATTTTCCGCACCCGGCTGGTTTGTGGTCTCCTATATTCGGTTTTGCGGAATCCTCTTCTTTGGTGTGGGTTGTTCTTTCGGGTGCCGCAGTCTTCGCTGGCTTCTCTCAATGGATATGAACCATTTTTCCCCGGAAAGAACGTCTTCCATTAAGTCAAAGAGCCATTGCATCGAAAGTGGTTGAAGGTATAAGGGGATGGTCGCTTCCTCATGAGGACTTTCCGCAGTAATTCTTCAGAAAATTTCGATAAGATATTTTTCATCACCCATTGATTGTCAACTTGTTCGCCTTTCTGCCTCAGTTCCTGAATGATGACTTGAATTTGTTCGAAAAGTGAACGTTGATCCTTTAGGAATTGACTTCGTAGGTGGCTATTTCCCAATTTGTTGATGAGCTTCTGTATCAAACCCTCTCCCGAACCGTATCGGTTATGCAGGAAGGTTATGGCTTTGGAGTAATTTTCCTGAAAGACATGAAACTTTTGAATGGATTCTTTAGCTTCTCCTTGGAGCGCGTCCAAAAGATAGTTGGATTTGTAGAGTTCTGGGAGATCCGATGAGTGCAGGTTTACATTGTATAACTCCCAGAAGTTATCCCAGTCCCAAATATTCCCCTTGAGTTTTCGTATGGGTAAGGTAGGAAGTTCCACAGACTGGAGCTTGCGAAGTTGCGCCTGCGTCCCAGATGAAGATTGTGGTGCTGTCGCTTGAGGCTGGCTCATGCCATCGAAGGATTTGATCGCCCTGATGCTTGCAGAAGCATTATGTATTCAACTGGTGTGGCAATACTGTCTTCGGCTCGAATGGAGTAAGTTTCGTTGTCATCAGGCTCACTACCCGTAGATGAACTGTCTCTCAGAGTGAGGAACTTTCTTACTGTTGCCTCCAATTGTCCTGCCAGAGTGTCAACAGCTCCCATCACCTCCTCGAGTTGACGTAGATTTTCAATATTTACTTTCTGTGCTTCCTCAGAAAGTTTGGCGCATAGTGATTTCGGCTTCATTCCCTTATATTCCTTTATCAGCTGCTCTAATTTGTTTCCGTACGGGGTGATTAGCCTTTTAGTTGTGGCTATCTGGGCGTTCATCTTTTTTCCCCTTTGGCTTCTTTATCAACTTGACAAGTTGGTTGAAGGATTGCGAAATATTACTTGATGGAAATTTCGACTTGATAACACTTAAGGAAACTTGAAAGCTCTACTAAGCAATTCAAATTTCTGACCTAAGTTCCTTTTCGAACAGACGATGCACCATATCGGAACTTCTGGGTTCTTGCTCGACTTGTGGACGTATCCAGCTGTCCACATTGTACAGCGGTGGTGGGATGGTCGAGTGGATGACGTGATGGAAGCCACACGGTTTACTTGGTGATTTACAATCCTGAACAAATTTCGACTTGAGCCGACTTGAATTGACCTTACCAGGAAGGTTTTTAAGGACATGGAGCCCTTTCCGAAAACGGTTTTTGCATGATAGAGGGGCACATGCATGAAGTACAAAACTAGGCTCCATTTTTTTTGAGCGGCCCTCTGGATGCCAAAAAAGAAGTGAAAAAATTTTCTTCAGAAGTCGGAGTTTTCACACCTTCAACGTTTTTATATCACTCGTTATGTTGAGTGGACGTACAGTAGAAGGTTTTCTTCACCTGAAAGTTGAAAACAGCGTGGAATAAAGCCAATACCGAAAATTGTACATAATAAGTGCTCAAAAGCCCAAGGAAGTCTCATCAGAGTCGTTGACATTCATTGTACAGCGGTGGTGGGATGGTCGAGTGGATAGCGTGATGGACTCTGGTTGGCACGGTTTGTTCGAAGTTGTTGGTTCGGTTCCCCTCCACGCTCGGAGTTTTGCATTTTTCCGATTATCACTTTTCTGCATTTGTACGTGCGCGCGCGTGAGCTTAAAGTCTATAGGTGTCATACATGGACTTTCTCCCCCAATTCTGCGATGTTTCGTAGTACCAGGTTTTTTTAGTTGTGTACGAAATTCCGTTTGATTGCTTGCAGATTGCCGGCGTTGACAAGTGTTCAGGATGCTCGTCGACGTAGCCAGTGCCCACCCAGGCATAAGCCATGCATCGACAAGATCAGGGGTGATGCCAGATTGCCCCATGGGCAGGAACTGCGGTGGAAGTGTAACTATCAACCAAACGTGTCGCTTGCTATCATCTCGAAGCTGTCTTCAAGTGGGAAGAGTGCACGCCGTACTGACTATGGGCTAGCCCATGGCCCAATTTTTGAATTCGGGGCGAAATCTTGATCTTCTCTAAAACTGCGGCTATAAGGGTAATTATAGGCGCTGATTACGAATCTGATGTCCATTTTTGATGGAGGCGAGATATTATGCCATTTTAGCCTCCTCGGGCACCATCTCGGCGCCGCTTTAGCGCCATACGATTTACGCCCCAATTCTGGGCAGAAAGCTAATCAGAAAGGTTGATGATGACCCTGATTGTAAGAACAGTACCTATTTTTATCGGCGGCAACATTTGGAGTCATTTAACATGCGCTAACATGAAATGCAAAATTTTTTCATCAGCCGGGACCGATCCCTTGACCAATTTTTTATACCTTTTTTGGCACTCACAGGGCCGCTCAGAAAAAATGGAGCCTAGTTTTGTACTCCATGCATGTGCTCCTTTATCATGCAAAAAACCGTTTTCAGAAAGGGCTCCATGTCCTGAAAGACCTTCCTGGTTAGTAGAAGACAAGACAAGAGAAAGATTCACTCAGAGCGACTTGAGACGATTAACTGCTCTCGATTAAGCTGGAGACAGCGATGCCAACTAGCGGCCTGAATAGATTCACTTGAATACCGTTCTATTTGAGTTGTCGAGAAGACTTCACTTGAGCTCGCGATAAGAAACAAGACTGCTTGAATCTTCAATTGAGATAAGTGAATACAACGAATTAAGTGAGAAGATCAGGGCTTGAGCCCAGCCGATTCCTGAGACGAAAATGAGACAGTATTGGGACGGTATTGATCCATTGTACTTGAGAGTGCCATTTTATAGCTGCCTCGATCCCGCCAGATCATCATGTAGATCAAGCCTAGAATCGCGTTCGCGACAGCGGATTAGGGAGACCCACCTTCAATGGGCATGGTGTTCTCTAAAATTGCAGTGCTTATTGAAAAAACTCATGATTCGGTAACTACAAAGCCTACAAAGCAGAAATAAATCTGTCGTAGAAAAGCCTAAGATACTATGTTTTCTCTATACAAGACGTGAGAGGAGACCCATAGTGAGTGGAGCTTTGAAGTGGACTTTGCTTCCGACAAGTCCTCATAATTACATCTCAAGAAGACCTAAAGAGCCCATAAAGCTAGGTCTAGGTTTGAGAACGAGGGAGCTACAAAGGCAATAGCAAGCGGTGCGTGCTATAACTCGGTTACAAGTTTGGAGACTGCGAAAAAGTGGATAAAAGTTAGCAAAGGGGATGAGGACAACTGCTGTTTTTGGGCAGGGTGTGCACCAAAGTGGGAGGACTTCGATACGAAACTGTATAATTCTGTTTCAAGAAGTCCTGGAAAAGGGTAGTGGTCGGCGAAGTAAAGCTGACTAAATGCTATTGGAAAGCGGAGCATGCACCAGTGGGCGAAGTGTAATATTCCGGAAAAAAACACTGCTGGTCACTTTCAAAAGAAGGAAACTCAAGAAAAAAATCTGCTTATTGTGTTGAAACTGCGGAAGCCGTTCAAATTTCAAAGACAAATCATGACTTCCATGGCAAAAAAGAAAGGAGCCGAGAAGAAAAAGAAGTATGCAATAATTGAGTTCAAAGAAACGCAATAGAACAAAGGAAGGAAACGGCAGCGACGCAACTAGTTGCATTTTCGTGCTCATGCCATGTAGAATGACATGAGACGTACCCCATTTCATTAAATTTGATTTGAGATTGAATCGCTACAGTGCGCGCAGCTAACTGACAGCTGATCCATCTGCGCCCCTGCCTTCTTGTCGTGCGACGAGCCTTTTTTCGGGGACCTATCATTTTCGAGCTGAACAGCACACTTCAACACCAATAAAGGAGATAAACAACGGCGATGCGTGCCTTGAGGTGAGACTTCTCTAAGTTTGCTCAGCTACATCAGTTTAGTGAGTTAAATGTACTCAAGAAATTACAAGTCAGTTTTTGTTGAGCTACAGAAAACCGAATATTCTCCAAGTAAAAGCCATTAGGTGCTTTGCACTTCAACGCCAAGCAACTGACCGAAAACGGAGTTCACTAGTGCAACTACAATGCTGCTAAATTGTGCACATGCGCCACCGAATAAGGAGCCATTAGACCGGTGTTGAACTGTCCCATAATACTCATTATCTGAGGCTTAGGGTCCTGTTGGCATAGATCCCTATGCTTTTACTGGAAATTGAATGCGGTTCCCATCTAATCTCCTTGAAAATCTTGTGCAGAAATTTCTAGATTGGATAGTGGGCGTTTTCAGCGTTCACATCGCCTGGTTTCCTCATCCTTTATGGCATCATGGTGATCATCGTTTCAGCCATCATACTTGTATGTCACAGGAAAAAAAAGGTTTGTTCAGAGAGCGGTTCCTCTTGAGATGTACATAATTTGACTTGGCTGCTATACAGAACACCAAGCAAGCGGACCCTGAAGAGGATACTCGTAGTGGAGGAACGATGATGAAGTCTCGTCGACGACCGCGAGGTAGAAGACAACGAAAGCATGTGTAGATGGAAAAGTGGTCAATAATGTGCAAACAATTACAAAAATACTCCCAGCATTTCTCATATTTGTGCAATAAAAATTTTCTGTGAAATAAATGGCCAACCTATGGAAGATAAACTTTGAGCGCAAAGTCCGAGATTGAATTAGTGTATCGTTTTGCTTGAAGGTGACAGTAGAGATACGAGGCGCAACATCAGTGATCAACCCATTGCGTAACGCGTGCTGCTCTTGGTGCAGCACAATTTTTTTTGAGGAGGATCCTCATTTTCTTATACTCTAACCGTGTGGGAATATATCAGGTTGAAAAAAAAACCCTGCAACACTTTCTCAAATTTTTGATTTTAATTTCATCTTCTCTGTTTACAACTCCTGACCGGTCTTAGATCTCTCAAGAGTGTCCACCACTTGTCTTTTATGCTCAGGAAATTTCTTGATTTTCCTTTGCCAAGACCCAACACTGCGGCTTGAGAAGCAGGGCGACCTCACTTTCGAGTTGGATTTGATCGTCTGATTATTTCGTCATTATGATGATGATTAAAGGTCTAGGATGGGCGGCAGTCAGTCACAGCTCGACCAGGGGAATGCGCGAAGAGAGGTGAGGAATCTTGGCGCATCTCAAGAATTTCTTAACGGGCTCATTTCGGATCATGTTGATTTGCAATGTCATGAAAGAAATAACTATGTATTGTAGCGGTACGAGGGCTCTTGGCGAAGTGCCTCGCCTAGCTTACGGAGTTTCGAAGCCTAGACCTCTGGTAACACAATAGTACTCATAACGAAGAATTTGTAGTGGAGCTTCCGCAAGAGCTTTACCTGTGATGGAGTGTACGAGATGCTGATGCCCCTCATAAACATACATGTCTATTGAAGCTGTTGCAGATAATGTAGGTCATTGACACGAATCCACAGTTATCCAAACATTTGTACTGAATAGTGACTCGGAGTACAGATTTATAAGTGGATGAGGTTTTTTTCTACATTTTCTCGGATAACTAGTGACTGCAGCACTTATATCCACCTCGTGGATTGAAGCCTCGAGAATGCTCTACCATTTGTTAGTCATAAATGTTACCTATGACTTTTTCAGAAAAAAAGGAAAATTTTAGAAAGAGGGATGCAGAACTTTCTTTCCAACCTGATAGTAACGAATAAGTAGAACAACCTACAGACGTGTTACTACGCCATATGAATAAAAGGCTAAGGTGTTAGCTTTTGTTGTAAAAAACGAGTCGCGGCCATCTTACTTTTTCCTCAGTTTGAAGCAGAAGAGAAGGACTATCTTTTTGATGACTCCATGAGTATAGAGCAATAGAAGTAGCTTCATTCAAACCACTTCTTGTAACTTTCTTTTAACTTGCCTTCTTCAGAACATTTTCAATTTCTTACACCTTTTTGTTTAC